CAAGTGATCAGAATACAGAATATATTTGTTTGCAGACTATGCTTTAATTATATGTAAATGATAAGATAGAATGAATTAATATACTATTACAATTATATGTAAATGATAAGATAGAATGAATTAATATACTATTACACTTATATTGTAAATGATAAGATAGAATGAATTAATATACTATTACACTTATATTGTAAATGATAAGATAGAATGAATTAATATACTATTACAATTATATTGTAAATGATAAGATAGAATGAATTAATATACTATTACACTTATATTTTGCAGGTTACCAGTGTTTGGTTTATACGCAGTCATGGGAAAATGTTATTTAAAAACTTTATTGAAAATGAGTCCAGCATTAGTATTTCCTGTCATTGGATTTGGGATTGCTTTCTATATTCTTTTGTCCAGTCAAGTAAGTAACTCTTAATTGCCTTGCAATGCAGTAGATTTAAATTGCAGTTGTTAATTACTTCTGCTATACTGGCATCATAATGGACATTTTCTATCTTTATCTCGTTACGTGATATGATCTGCTCTGTAGTAATATTGTAAATATTTGTTGAAAGCAACAAATGCTGAAAAAACTTTATAATATATATATTCTTGAGGCTATTCATTTATATTTGGCAATATGTTAATATTTGAAATAAGATTTGTTAACAAGAAGAAATGTTGGAACAAATGAGCACATGAGGGCACTATAACACTATGGTGGTGGCACTATACTACTATCCAGTTTGAATGACAAAGAATATGTTCATAAAAGTGCTGACTGTCCTTAATTCTTCTTGTTCACTTTGAGACATTTACTGTAATTTTATTATCCAGGATGAATTTTCTTCATTGCCTCGTTCTGTGCTGACTGTGGCTGTCATGATGCTTGGTGAAATTAATTATTATGGTAATTTTGTGGAAGACAATAGCTCTATTGTTTCAGTCATGGTGGTCATTGTTCTTATTGTTTTCCTTATTTTGGTGGTTATCATCGGCAATCTGGTAGTAAGTATCATGTTTACTATAAAATTTATTGGTGTAATAGTGACAGGAAATACAGCAGTAAAGGTTATAAAATAGAGAAAAAAATTCAAATAAGAAATTGAGATGCAAACTTTACTTAATGCACTGTGTCAACCAAAGACACCTAATAGATCAGCTAATAATAGTCAACCTAATAGTCAACTTGAAATATCTAAACCATTGGTGCTCATTATACATGTACCGGTACTATTTTTTCTGTATTTGGCTTGTACAGAAATTTATTGGATGTACATTCCAATACGACATTCTTGGAAGTTTTTTCTTAGAAATTGACTTGTATTGTTAGTTATTACAGTATATTTACCTCAAGAGAGCACAATCTATTTAGTTTGTCAAGCAAACTTCAGCCATCGTGTGGGGCTAAGCTTTTTTCTGACAGCCTCTCACTAAGAGTTTTATGTGTTATTTCCCATAACTGCACTGAGCATCACAATTTTCTATGGTTTCCATTGCATGAGCAATTTCATCGAAATCATGATTATATTTAAACAAAATAATGTTCAAAATCACGGTTATTGCCATTTTAAATATTTTTTGCTTGAACTTTAGATGAGACAAAATTGCAAGATAATTCTATAGATTAAAGCAATACACTGATAACTTAACAGTTGAACTAATCTATTAAAACTATAAATAATCCAAGTCAAAACATCATAAAAACACTGCTGTGCTGTGGCAGCAACACTGATTGATTGTTTCTTTTTGCAAGATTGCATTAGCTGTTAACGATGTGCTTTCAACTCAGCGAGACCATTATCAACAACTTATTCTGCTCCAGGTATGTATCATTTTAGAAATAATCAATAATCAACCTATCTTTTTCAATTTATTTTCTTTCGAACAAAGTTAGTGATGTCTTCATTATTGGTCCATCTGTTACTATCACCTTGACTGCACTGAAATGAATCAGAATGTAGTATTTTTCAAGATATTGCTGTAAATGTAGCTTGCAAAAATTAAATAAGAAATATTTACACGTAAGAAATATTTGAGGAACAAGTATTCTTGTTACGTCATTATGATGACTTTATTGATCTACACCTAAGCTAGGATTTCCATGCAAAATGTTTAGATATATTATTGCATTGTTTCAGGACTTTTATATTCTCATTTGCTATGGAAAAAAAGATTGTGCATTGTTAGTTTGTATCCATCCATCCATTAATGGGCTAGGTTGTAATAGTTTAGCTATGTTTTCTATATATCTACATGTAGATATCATGCACACTAAGTACCCCAAACAATGAACCTAGATAGTGAAATAATAAGACATTTTTCTCTGTTTATTATATTCAGTTACCATGGGGATACCCATGACTAATAATAAATATCTTTGATGTTTGTTTGTTTGTTTGTGTGATATTTCCTCTTAGATCAAGTTACAATTACAACTAGAACACAGTTTAATGTATGTTATGATACAACCACTGTCGCGTTGGCTTTGGAGATGTTCACATGGAAGACTAGAAGATGAGTCAACAATATACGTAGACCAGAAACCGGATACAAAATCAGTTTCATGGTTTCAGTGGGTAAGAATTAACGCAATATTCTGGCAAAAATGTAATTATATTTATTTATATTTATTTTTCAATATATTCTTTTCTTACTGGATATGATATAGAAGAAAAGCATCGTGTACATACTTTTGGTCATGGTGTGCTTGAGAGATTAGATTATGGACATTGTAAATTTTGTTATGTTACAGAAGATGTTGTAAATTTGTTCAATCCCTAGTTACCTCCTAACTTTAGAGACTCATCTTTACCAATGCTGATATAAAGTCCCTTTGTTTACCCAGGGTCCTGTCTATCATGTACACTATTTGTTAGTAATTAATAATATTGATTAATTATAAAATAAGGGTTTTATAATTACCACCTGCTGTCCTGGCCAATGATAATATAACATAACATAACACAATCCATTATGCCAGATACAAATGTAGACTGCATGTAGTGTGACTATAAAAAAAACCTTGTGTGTGCGTGTACAGTAATAAATGATCTGCATCTTTTTGTTGCAGTGTTTTAAAGGGAGGCCCATGTCAATTGGACTAGAAAATGAAATGAAAGATGAAATCACAAAATTGAAAGAAGAATTGCAGACACAAAGATTGCAGTAAGTTTTAATGTTGATAGTCATGGCAACAACATTAGTGCAAAATTTAATTTCATATCAACATGTCACATAGGAGACCCATATCAAATATGAGAACGACGACTGATAAGCTTAGATATAATCGTAGTTCTTATTGATATTTAATATAACCAAATGATTTGGCAGTGTAATTTCTAAATAGATTTTGAAATCATAGAAAACACATAGAACACACACATAACAGCTCTTTCATGATATATTGCCTCAAATAGGAATCTTAAAATGCAGACAATTCTTGGACATTCCCCAATGAAATAGACCTCTGTGGCTATCGATTAACCAAAGTCTCTTGCTGTCACTCAAGCTACACTATATGAATGAAATAAAGATAAAATGTTATTTCCAACAAGAACTGATTCCATTAGTTTTCATTTTTCCCAAGTTGGAATATAACTTCTTCCGTGCACTTAAGTCAATTTTTATTGCCGCTAATAACACAAACCCAAGAAATAGGAAATATCTAAAATACTATGCCCTCTAGACCCAAAGTGTAATGAACAAAATAAATATATAATTATGTTTGTTCTAGAGACAACTGCAAATAAATCAAGAATACCATAAATATCTAATCCATTATTTTTCAAATTCACTGATAAAATTGGGATTTCATTCTATAACAATATATAACAAATAACTATCATCTTTCTGATTTGTTTTCAATTTCAGATTTACTGAAATGCTAGCTCTTCTTCGGAGGTTATCAACTCATCAACCTTCAACTCCTACGTTCAAA